TTATTTCGTGAAACGTTAGAAGCAACGGCACTAGCACAACTAGTTGGTGATAGGACTCTAAGCCCTTTGCAATCAAGCAACTTAGCCTTGAGTGCACCGAGAAATCCATCAGCATCGTTCCCCGTCCCACAGACTTCCTCAAACGAGAAAGGCTCAATCTTATCCAGCGAGATGCGATTAGCTGACGTTCTCGAGGTCGACGGAGGCAGCTCGAAGTTGGTGCGTGCATTAGTCCCACGCAACGCCCGAGCAGCGTCGTCGTAAGCTCGAGCTGCATTCTCGGCAGTATCGAAAGTTCCGAGCCAAAGCCTAACCTTTTGCGAAGAATCCTTGATCTCAGCCACCCATCTACCTGATGGTCTCTGCCTAACCCCAACAAATCTATGGTGTCCTCTGGATGATGACTTCTTTCGGCCACGAACTCCGGCAGAAGTGGTCATAGTTAATTACTCCCTTTATGGAACCTCTTAGTAGAAGAGGTTTGGCTCCTTTATAATCGCTGAATCTGAAAGGGAATCTTTGGTTTGCCATTAGTAGACAACGAAGAAAATGGCAAAACCTGGTGCGATGTCGACTGCAGGCCTGGTTGTTTCCATCGACGCAAATACTACAATACAACAGCAGCCAATACATCTCAAATATCAATTATTTTTAATCAAATGCTAGCTGTTTGTTATTCAATACCAAGTCCTAAAGACAACAAATACTAAAACTTTAATATACGAAAAATATTGTAAATAAAAAATATAATTTAAAAAAATATTAATGATTCTTCGATTATAAGAGGTTATATTGTTGAGTTTCTCAACTATTAAATGTTACAAAATTATCCTCCGACTATAGAGCGTTATTTTATTGAGTCTTCCGACTATTAAAAGTTACAAAATGATCATATGACTATTTATATGTTCCAAACTTATCATTTTCTGTTAAAAAATTGATGGTTGTTTAAGTTGGACGTTAACTTACAGGTTGTGATATCATAAAAATCATATTTTAATGATGTTTTAGTATCGACGTTGCTTTCAAGCACTGATTTGACGACATAATGTTTTAAGTACTAATTCGACGACATAATATAAACGGAGAGATGATACACAAAATGCAACTCAAACGGTTCTGTGATAAAATTATATCATATTTCATTCAACAAATTAATGTCTAATTTATATGGCTGCCAAATATTTTAACGAAAAAAGACAAGTTTAGAATATATGAATAGTCAAGTAACCATTTTATAACTTTTAATAATTAAAGAACTCAACAAAATAACGTCTTATAATTAGGAGATCATTTATAACTTTTTGATAAAAAAACTCAATAAAATAACTCTATATAGAGATATATTATTTGTGTACTTTTCCTAAAGAATAATATATTATTTTTTTAACTTCAAAACTGGGTCGTTTTAGCCGAAATGAAAGCAACATAAAGCCCATAATCCAACTCTTATTCTTTAAGTGAGAAATCATTTTCAGGTACGTATAAACCCAATTAGGTTTGGGGTTTTGTGCAAGGTGAGTGTAGTTGGGGAGGGGAGACAGAGAGAGACAGAGAGAGACAGAGAGAGAGAGAGAGAGAGAGGGAGGTGAAGCTGAAGACCATACTTTCTTCAGAGACCATGGACATCCCCGATGGTGTTAGCATCAAGGTTAATGCCAAGATTATCGAGGTTGAAGGCCTCAGGTGAAAGCTCACCCGCAACTTCAAACACCTAAACCTCGACTTCCATCTCATCAAGGACGAGGAAACCGGCAAGCGCAAGCTCAGGATCGAGGCTTGGTTCGGTTCCAGGAAGACCAGTTCTGCCATTCGCACCGCTCTCAGCCACGTCGAGAATCTCATCGCCGGTGTTACCAAGGGTTACCGTTACAAGATGAGATTCGTCTATTCCCACTTTCCCATCAACGCCTCCATCACAAACGGCAACAAGTCCATCGAGATCTGTAATTTCCTCGGCGAGAAGAAGGTCATCAGTCTCTCTCTCTTCCCACCACCATTTCATTCTTTTACATGAAACATGAAATTATTATATTTTTATCAGGAGCGAAAGGTGGATATGTTGGAAGGGGTATCTATTGTTCGATCAGAGAAGGTGAAGGATGAGATCGCTTTGGATGGTAATGATGTTGAACTTGTATCTCGATCAGCAGCTTTGATAAACCAGGTACCCCCATCTCATTTACTTAAAGCTTAAAGCTTTGGTTTAATAATCTGACTGTTGGGTCTTTGGATTGGATGAACAGAAATGCCATGTGAAGAACAAGGACATTAGGAAGTTCCTTGATGGTATCTATGTTAGTGAGAAGGGAAGGATCGCCGAAGAGGAATGATTGTTCATCTCATGACATCAATACTTGTAGCGTTGCTCTCATAGAACAAAGAAGTATTTATTTATCCTTTGGATTTCTTTTTTACTACAATAGTGTTCTCTTTTTTGGTGCTTTGTACAATTTTTCTTTACTCATCAAGCAAATGCAAGTGCTCTTTCTTTAGACTAGAGGAAGATGCCGCTACAACCGGGGACAATTTTCTAAAATTTTAGGAGGGGTCAAATTTTTAAAATTTTAATAGGGTGAAAAAGATTTTTTAAAAAAAAATTACAATGAAAAAAATAAAATATGTTAATTTTAAATTTTCATGTGACGAATGTACTTGTATCCTCGATCCATCCCTAACTACAATAAATGTGTTTTAGACTGACCATTCATTTGTGGAGCTTGCAATTGAATATATCTTCCAATCACCGCTATGAGGATTGACTCCATCTGCAAAACTGTTGGCATAGTGCTTTGCCCAAGTCAAATATATCTGAAACAAATCATCAAAGAAGATTTGATCCCCATAATTTACAGATGTTTCTTTGTTTTCATGCCTACCAAACAAGAGAAGAAAAGAATATGTATATGAAGTGTAGTCTGCTCTATTATATTCTAAAGGTATAATGTCAAAATTTGCCTCAAATGTTTATCAAATAATTAGTTTGGGTCATATACTTGAGCATTTTGGTCTCCAATATTTTATTTTGGAGCAAAAAGATCATCCTATGAAAATCATTAATTAACAAATGATTAATACTCTTAAAATAGAGTTTTTTTTTATCATAAAATGAAACGTTGAGAGTTAAATTTTTTTTAAAAAAAGAAATAAATACCAAAATGACTATTTGGTCAAATGTCAATAGTCGTTTTATCATAAAATGAGACGTTGGGACTCAAATATTAAAAAAATATAGATTAAAATAATTATTTTAATAAATGTTGAGAGATTAATTTTAATATTATATTTATTAAATCATTTTGTTGAATTTGATATCACATTTATTTAATTATCAAAATCCTTATTATTAGTAATTTTAGAAAATAATTTTTATTGGTTGAATCTAATCACATTCGAATAACTTTTAATTTTAAAAAGATAACCAATATTGAATAAGAAATTTGCTTGGATAAGGAGTCAGACAACATCAGCATCAATATCTTAATGTTGATGGCTAACAGAATAGGGAAAAGATTGGGATGTGGGGGCAGCCTACTTGAACAAGCCGGGCTTAAGTGTTCAAATGTGTCATCCCACAAAACTATATATAATATCCCTCAAGATTGGAATGGTATTGAGATTCAATAATCTAATGAGTGGACTGAATAATAAAAAATATATTGTTTTCCATAAATGATAAAAATTCGAGTTATTGGATATGTATGTGTTGTCACGGACTAAGAAAAATTATAAAAAATATTATCTTATAATTATTTAAAATTAATAAGAAAAATGTCAATTCTCTAATTATACGGTGATCCAATTCACATGAATCTATCAGCCTAGTGTAATCTATTGAAAACTTCAAGTATGCTTATATGATCCCCCATCATTCATAAAATGGTGCATTTTATATTGCCGGCAATGGCCAACCATTTGCATTGTGCTTTGGGTTGGGGGACAAAAATCACGAAAATTTGGAATTGTAGTAAATCAATTCATAAAAAACGCCACTTTGCTGAATGGCAAACGCTCGCAACTTTTCACGAACGTGTGACTAACCGTTGCTTCTTAGTAGACCAACACACAAGACAAGTGCAATAATATATGGCATATCTACATCGTTTGGCCATTCAAAGTCATAAAAAAATTCAATTCGACACAAATTTTTTTAAAATTCGAATCGATACTGATATTTTCTTTTACCTCTAAAACTACTCATTAATCAGTTCAAATGTCTATTTAAATTTAAATTATGATAATAAGTTCAATAAGAAATTTAGATTGATAATAAGCTATAAATAAATATGAAACTCTTAGCACATAAATATTATGTTAGAGTAGTTTGATTAATGACATAATTAGAAAATTTAGATTGTATAATTAATTTTTTTATTAAAATAGTGTTCATATTTTTTTTAAATTAATGTTAATTTTATTTTAATATTTTTATATAAATTTTATATTTCTTCTACAGAAAAAATAGGGTGTGAAGCGAATCTCTGGTGACTGGTAGGTGTTTGAATATATGAGAAACGAAAAGGTTGGAAGCTAAAAAGCAGGTGGGGAAATGGAAGGGAGAGAAATGAGGCTGTTCACTCTCCTCTGAATTCTCAACTTCTTCACCCATTTTTGTCCATTCTTTAGACCAAATCCACTCTCTCTTTACCTCAATTCTCTCCCTTCTGTCCTTATATTCAATCCCATCTTTGTAAACAAAACCTCCCAAGCCCCATTGTTAACGTAAATACATGTCTTTAAGTAGTACCATCGTCCCTTCTTTCTCAAAATACAACACTACTCACCTACTACACTAATGGCGGATATCTCATGCTTTCCTCTTTCATGGTACTCTCTTATCTATTATTATACTATTTGTTTATATATTTAAACAAAGTTCCATGTACCCTTCTTACAGAAACTTTCTTATTTGGAGTTGGAAGTTCCAGCAGAACTAAATCATCTTCTTCAGGTACCATATTATCATCTTGTTTTATCTGTCAAATTTCCCCTTGTTCTGATCTTTTTTGGAATATTGTTTGTTAGCTTGTGATGAGATAAACTGGGAAAATCGTGATGGCGAGAGACTACAGTGGTTCGCAAATGCATCATCAGCTTGAAGCAAAGAGGAGGCGTCTCACATGGATTCTGGGGGTTAGTGCCCTCTGCATATTGTTCTATGTGTTGGGCGCTTGGCAGGCGACTCCCAGTACTCAATACGACTTATACACTAAAGTTGGTTGTAATAATAATACGGCTATGTCGGACAACAATGGCAATGCAAGTCTCAGTAATCCATCGATAGACTTGGATTTTGCTAGCCATCATCAGATCGATATCGAGAGTTCGAAAACAGTGAGTCAATTCCCACCGTGTGACATGTCTTACAGCGAGTACACTCCTTGCCAAGATAAAGTAAGGGGACGGAAATTCGACCGCGACATGATGAAATATCGAGAGAGGCATTGTCCCTCCAAGGAAGAACTGCTACTCTGCCTTATACCGGCCCCGCCGAATTATAAGACCCCTTTTAAATGGCCTCAGAGCCGTGATTATGCCTGGTACAACAATATCCCTCATAAAGAACTCAGCATTGAGAAGGCGATCCAGAATTGGATTCAAGTAGAGGGTGATCGTTTCAGATTCCCCGGGGGAGGCACCATGTTCCCTCGGGGAGCTGATGCATACATCGATGACATTGGTGAGCTCATTCCTCTTACTGATGGAAGAATCAGAACAGCTGTTGATACCGGCTGCGGGGTAAGTAATGGAAATCCCTTTGCTATTACAGATACCATATATACTTTTGGCCTATGTTAATAACTTGTACTTGAACTGTGTACTGATTGCCTTTTCTGATTCTTTTCTTCATTCCTCTGCTGTTAGGTTGCAAGCTTCGGTGCTTACTTGTTGAAGAGGAATATCTTGACAATGTCTTTTGCTCCAAGAGATACACACGAAGCGCAGGTCCAGTTTGCGCTGGAACGCGGAGTTCCTGCGATGATCGGAATCATGGGTTCACAGAGGCTTCCTTATCCAGCGAGGGCTTTTGACTTGGCTCATTGTTCCCGTTGTTTGATTCCTTGGTCAAAGAATGGTAAGACATCTCAATATCCTTAAAGATGACATTGTTGTATATATTAGCTAATGGTTTCATTTAATTGGGGATAGATGGCTTGTATCTCACGGAAGTGGATCGAATTCTAAGGCCTGGAGGTTACTGGGTGCTCTCTGGTCCTCCTATCCGCTGGAAGAATTATTGGAGAGGGTGGGAAAGGACAAAAGAGGACTTAAAACAAGAGCAAGATGAGATCGAAGACACCGCCAAACGCCTATGCTGGAAGAAAGTGACTGAACACAATGATCTAGCTATTTGGCAAAAGCCTATCAACCACCGTGAGTGTGTTAAATTTAAGAAGCGCCATGGAACACCACCCCTGTGCAAATCACAGAATCCGGATACAGCTTGGTACTCTCTTTAGTCCTTTGATTTAGGTACACATAAAGACCCTTTGAGTCTCATTTTCCTTGTCATTTGTGGTAAAAAAGGTATAGAAATTTGGAAGCTTGCATAACCCCACTTCCAGAAGCAACACATGCAACTGATGTTGCTGGTGGTGAACTACTAAAATGGCCGGGGCGTGTTGTTGCTGTCCCTCCTAGAATTAGCCGTGGCCTAGTACAAGGCATCAGTGTCGATAGATTCGTGGAAGACAGGGAACTGTGGCATGAAAAGATAGCACATTACAATCGACTTATTACTCCCTTTCGTTCCGGACGACATCGGAATATCATGGACATGAATGCCAACTTTGGGGGATTTGCAGCTGCATTGTCAAAGTATCCAGTGTGGGTCATGAATGTTGTACCTGAAAATTCAGATCCTGACACTTTGGGAATCATTTATGAACGAGGTCTAATTGGTACGTACCAGGATTGGTGTGAAGGATTCTCAACATATCCAAGAACGTACGACCTCATCCATGCGAATGGCGTGTTTACCATGTATCAAGACAGGTAAATGTTGTCCCCCCCCCCTTTTGCAGACAGTTGATAAATATTTTTCCATGTGATTGAACTTGTGTAAATATGTACATTGATTGAAGGTGTGACATGACTTACATCTTGTTGGAAATGGATCGGATTCTGCGGCCAGAAGGGACGGTTATATTCCGGGACACGGTGGAGCTGCTAGTGAAGATAAAGAGTATAACAGATGGAATGAGGTGGAAGGCTCAGATCGTGGACCATGAGAGCGGACCCTTCAATCCTGAGAAAATTCTTGTTGCTGTTAAAACATACTGGACTGGAGAAGCAACACACAAGCAGCCCTAGTAAACATTTATAGTTTCCTCTCCTCTTAGCACTCCCTGTCTCTCTCTTTTCATCTTGGCAACATAGTATCAAGTCACTGAGATTTCACCCCCTCCAACATAATTCTTCCTTTCTCTAAGAGTAAAAGGGTAGGTTTAAATTTTAAAAAATTGTGCATTTTATTTATGCAATGTAAATGTATGCCATTTTCTTCACATCTCTCTATTTTTCTCAATGCTTTTAATGATTGTAGGATTAGCTAAACAGTCTTTGCATTACTGAGTAGTAGGGTATAAATAAACATAACATTCGATGAATTGTTCGTGAACTAATCATTTATGTTTACTTATTAAGTTAAATAAATAAGTATAAACAAAATTTTTATGTTCGTTTAAGAAACGAATAAACACGAACAAATGTGCGTTCGATTCATTTATGTTCACAAACAAGCTCGTTTATCAAGTTCCTATTTCTTTTTTCTTTTTTTACATTTTAAATATTGGTGAAAGTAGGGGCTAAATTGAACACTGAGTGAACTTTGAAGTTCAAACTGTAAAACCTAAGGAGATTAAGGACTAATAGCATAATTTCACTAGTTTTCTTTTACTTGCAAATAAAAAAAGATAAAAAAAACAAACAAACACATTACGAACCTATAAATGAACATGTTTATGAATGTTAATCTAATCAAATACGAACACAATAAAAGATAAACAAATGAACATGAACATGATATTAAAAAGGGAAAACTATTAATTTCATCATTCACCTTTTACTTAATTTCTGTTTTAGTCTTTCAACTATTTTTTTTTTAAAATCATACCTAACATTATGTTTTGGTTCTGTTTTGATCATCCACTGTTAAAAAACTGACGGTGATACTGACATGGTATTTTCTATTATTTTTAAATGGTGACATGGAGTTACCTTATGATGACAAGTCAATATCATTGTTAATATTTTAATGACGAGTGACCGAAATAGAACAAAAATATAACATTAAATATGATTTTATTATTCAAACCTTCAATTTTACAAATAAATAATATACCTCAAGTTTTAAAATATTCATTATTTTCTAATAGATTGTTTGTTTCTAGAATCATTTTTCATCTACTTGTGTAGTTTGCTTTGTGTATATGACATTGTTAATCCCTTTTCAATAGTCTAGGATGATTATAAATTAATATTTGTTTATAATTTTTTAATTAATTATCAACACATATATATTCTACATATATAGTCGCTCGAATCCAAAACTTATAAAAAATATTTTTTTATCATTGAAAAGTTCATATCAAACTTTTACTTAAGTTGCATTAATCGTATTATAGGCAGTGGTTTGATTAATTGTTGGAATGAAAAGCCCAGACCAAATTAACAAGGGCTTTTGGTTCATGGGATTGAAACAGAACCCAAGAATGCCTCAAAATCTGGTTTGATTTTGCAATTTGTTTGTTTGAGAAAAGCAAAATCCTATTTGTTTCACACCTATATTCAATGACGGATCCGTGGTTTTTTTAGGGTGGAGACGTGTTCATCTTAAACTCGATTTTTTTATTAATTATTTATTTGATTGATGATGCTCATCTTACTAAAAAAATTTTGTGTTATTAATATATACATACTCACATTAAAAAATATTTCTACATGGGTGACTGCTATTTTCCTACTTTACATTGCTTCAATCATTCAATTATACAAAATCGACCGGTGCTTATGGTTCACACTTCAATCAACACAGTTTTTGTTACAATTATTAGTATTTGTGTGATGGTGAGCTCGCGGTTGCCACCAACCAGTCTAACTTTGGTCTCGGCTTTTACATGGGCCCTATCTTAATCATGTAATTCTATTCCCTTCCTGGAAACGGACACTTTGTTATCTCTCATCCCATTTCAACTGAGTTGTGGTGTTCATTGAAACACGCATCCCACCACACTGTGCTTCATTATAACTCCTCCAATAATGCACGTATGCTCCAGCTTTGCTAGCTCTTCAAAGTGATGACTTTTGGTAAATATGTTAATGCCATTGAGACTGTAGTGTTAATGCCATTGGGTGCTTGTTTTGTCATTGTTCAATAGTACAAGTCTGACTTTAATGTTCTTTGAGTTTGTTTCACCTACTTCACCGGGATGTGTTAACTAAAAGCAGGGTTTCTTTTTTACACATGTAAGCTTTGTTAAGGGACATATGCATGATTTTGTATAGGCAGAGACCGATGTACATAGTAAGTGGAAGGGTTTCTTGTGTCTCTCTAATTTTTTTGTCTAATAGTATTTTATATCCTTATCAATTTAGACTTCAGTAAAGTTAGACTTTTATCCCTTTTAATTTTTTAAATTGAATACATAATAAATCTTTATTATTTTGAACTTGAGTATTTTGTCCCTCTTAATATTTGAATCTAGTCGTATAGTTTTGACTGGTTTTTCTTCTCTAATGTTTCTTGTTTTTTTTTTTCTTTTGATAAATACTTCTTCTGTTTCTATGTGTGCATGGGTTGCGTTTACTGCAAGGATTAATGCAAGATTGTCTTTTTGTGTTAGGCATGATACTAGGTGAAAGTGATGACTCAATCCCATGGTAATTATTTAGTAAATAATGTAGGTTTGATTGTGATATTTGGATTAGAATCAGCTGCTGAAATTCATTTTCTTGTCTCTGTCTCACTTGCGTCTCGGCATAAAGCTTGTGCTAATGGAGTGCTCATCATTAGTTGATGGGTTGATATGCTATTTCACCTCTCTAAACGACATAAATCTATATGACTGACTTTTTCTTTGTACAAGTGTCATCTGCACAACGTTACACGTCATGCTGATTAAAAATTGTGGCTTCTGCTTATTGCCTATTCAATTGAAAGTAAAAGGTAAAATATATAAAACAAGGGGTTGAGAATTGGAGTTTACTCGATGGAAAATGTAAAATGGAAGGTTCTTCTTCATGTAGGTTTTGGATTCGAGTAACTCGGTCCATAGGTGTATGCGTTCTTAATCGGTTAAAGAAATTTTAAACAGAAGTTATCTTATAATCATCTCAGACTATTTAAAAAAATTAATCATGAGTAAACTACAATCATGATCACTAACTATTGTCAAATTTTAATTTGACTACTAATCTTTTAGTTTTGTCAATCAGATCACTTAACTATTTAAATGATGTCAATCAAGTCATTTGACGTTAATATTTGGCGGAGGAACTGACGTTGTAGTTAACAAAATTGATATAATTACACATTTCATCATCAATGCTTACACATTCTATCGATAAATTTATTGAATTAAATTAAAATTAAGAACAAATTAATTGATAGAATGTGTAAGTATTGAGGATCAAAATTAGTTTAAACTTTTTATTTGGATTTTGATATGTGTTTTATTTAGTTATTATTTTGACTTTAAATTGCTCCTTAATTGTTGGTTTTTGTGGTTGATTTGTTCGTTTTGATTCATTTTCTGTAAAGGACACTAGATTCTGGAAATTGCACTTAAATGACAGAATTATGCAATTTATTTTTTATTTTCGGAATCAATGTTGGATTAGTGGGCATGACTCTGGGCATGACACATCTGACGAGGCGATAAATACCCTCTCAGGGTAAGCCTAAAAACACATTCAGAATTCATTATTCTTCTTTCCTCTGGTTTTATAAAAGTTTTCTTTTCTTTTTTCAAAGTTTTTCTTTGTTTTATTTTATTTTATTTTTAAAGATGTCAAGTATGATTTTCATACTTGACTAATTTCTCCGTAGCCAATGTTGAAGCGATGACTCAATCCCTATTGTTGGGATTAAAAAAAACTAAAATAACTTCGAGTTATTTTCTCAATTTTTGGATGAATAAGATTGGTAATTGACCTATCTTTTTAAAATCAAAACGTTTTTTAATCAAAAAGTCGACGTTGGTTCGAACGTTGTTCTGATTTATAGTTGGGAGGAAGAATCATCTGGTAGCAAGTTCAACTTCCTGTGAACACACTTAGCGGCAGTCTGCTAAGGGAAATTGAGATCGGACTCGATTATCATTGAGGCAACATAGTCCGAGTCGGGTTTTTCCAAATCTATAAAACAGGTTGGTGCTGACGACGATAGTCATAGTTGGTCTCCATAAAAGACAAAATATCAAAAACTAGATTTTAGGTTATCGATTCACAAGAGAGAAAAACAAGTTACAGGGGTTGGGCCCTGTAAACTGTAATTGGAAAATAACCGAAGTGAAAAATTAATTCAAAAGATCAACTGGAATTTAGGTAAAAGTTGAAGCTTGAGGCTAATTTCAACATAAGTTTTCTTTATCTCAATCTCTTTAAAATTTATTTATTTATTTTATCTTATCTTTTATTTTATTCTCATTTTTTATTTTAAAATAATTTTTAAACCCTACTTATTTAATCTCATCCAAAACTCTACCATATCTCATCCTTATTAGAATTAGAAAGTTCGCTTAATCAGAAACTCCAGAGTCCTTGTGGACCGACCCTGCATCTCTCTACTACTACTACTATCTCTCTTTATTTATTTATTTAATTTTGAGGAGCCGAAATTATTTTGACAACAAAATGACCCATGTCAAATTGGCGTCATTGCCGGGGACTTCAGCTAAAGTAACTGATAAAGTTCTTTCTTTTTATTTATGACCGAAAGTAATCCAGGTGATTTAGAAGAATTTGATCCATAAATTGAATCACGAACCAGAAGAATTCACGTAAAAACACTTTGAGAAAAAAAGAAGAAAATGACAACAGGAACAACTGGAGCAACCAGATTTAGAATTAAATTCGGAATGATCATCTTTCTTCAATAAGACGAAGAACCGTTAACAGAAGATATACTAGGCACATACAACACGCTAGAACCAATGGCAGATCAAACGATTTACCAGTTAGATGCGACACATGCCGTACAACAACCTCTCTACATCACTTTTCCTCAAGGCACAACTCTGTTTACTCTGGAAAACGGGCCTTATTCATCTTCTTCCTATATTCCATGGGCTTTCCAGTGAGAGTCCACACAAACATCTCACAGATTTTCATATGGTCTGTTCAAGCATAAAACCTCATGGAGTATTT